CAGCTAGAACTCACCGGGAAGGATGTGGTGCGTAGCTGACCAGACCTACTGGCTTCACATGCGCCTGCATTGGAGCCGGACGGAGCAGCACCGCCATGCTCCCTGCGCACGCACGCCGACGGGGTCTGTTGCAGGAGCACGGCGGCATGCGGTGGAGAGGATGAGTCGAGGGTTCGCGACTCGCGAGGATATCCAAGCGTCTGGTTTCGTGGCGAGTCGCAGGGAAGGCGGCGCGCGCAGAGAAGAGCGACGAGCTCGACGGCTGGCGGCGCATGAGGACGAGCGAGTGCAGCAGTCCGAGAGGAGGTAAGGCTCGGGCCTGCGGGAAGAGGGGCGGCGGGGGCTGGGATGGGGGCGGGGGCTGGGACGGGGACGGGAGCGGCGGCGGAGGCGGAGGCGCGGCGCGGGGCTACGGGATGAGGAGCGTCGAGACCCGGGAGCAGGAGGGTTGATTTTGGTAAAGTTCGAGGGCTTTTTTAAAAACAAACTGAGAGGAGGCATGGACTGCGGGTTGATTCGACTAAAGTTTTAGGGTTTTTTTGCAAAAAGACCACGGCTCGCCCGATCTGGGCCGTCCACGCGCCCCATCGAACGGCCTCGAAAAGCAGGTGACGTGGCACGCTGGCTGTCCGCGGTTTGGACGCAGGATTCATATGTAAAGATTGTAGAAGTGGATGCTTCTAGAAGTCGCCAATCCAGTATCAAGTGATGCGGACTCCAATCTGGAAAAAAAAAACTAGATGAAGTGATATTATATTGAAAAAGTATCAAGTGATACTCTTGTCGTCAGTATCGCTGCTGTATCAAGTGATACTCCGATCGATCTGAAAAATAAGGATCAAGTGATCCTGATTCCTGAACATAAAAAGAGTATCATGTACGTGGTACTTCAGCCTGTAAAAATGAAACCAAGGCATCAGATCTGGGTAGGAGGGAGAGGAAGGAAAAGACAAATAAAAGCATCTTTGAATCCACCGATGTGCTAGCCTTCAGTGCCGCGTCCGATGGGAAGCAAGCAGCACATGTTGACACGGATCGATCGTGGACGATGGGGAAGTGGATGTAGGGGCTACCTGGATGAGGAGGAGGCGACGAGGAGAGTCCGGCGTATCTGGCCCGGTGGAGTTGCAGCAGAGGTGCAGGACCTCGGAAGCTTACGTCACGGTGTCGACGCTGAATGCCGAATCCCTGTGTGCGGCTGCGGCCTCCATCTCCCAGGTGCGCAGCACACATTCCCGCTTCGCTGACTTCGCAATCAATGAACCGATCTACGGAAGTGAGATAACAAGATGTTGGAATCAACCATCTCCCAATCTGCATGCCACGAGGAGAATAAGATTAGGGATAAACAAACTACAGTCAGTTCGTTTGGCTGTGGCTTGTCGTAAACGATCGTAAATTTTCAACCGGAACAGTATTTTTCTCTCACACAAATCAACCAGCAGTACTTCTTCACGAACCAGCAACAAAACGAACCAGCCAACCGAACATGCCGCTGATCATATTAGGAACAGCGACGTGGGTTTCAATCTACTCTGCATCAATGAACCGCGTTACCAAAATCTCAGATCGGAGCACAGCATCGTGGCCGGAGGGCGGCGGCAGGCTATTGGAGCGAGAAAAGCCGACGCCGCCGCACGGGCTGTAGCCGCTGGACGCCCGCAAATGACGATCGAATCTCCTTATATTCATTATATTAACGGGTCCGCTTAATTAACCCGCTAATGCACCTCGGGCACCACGTTGGGAGGCTCTTTCGGTGTAAACTAGGTGAGGGGACGAAGCCAGAAAAAAAATAGGAGAGGTTGAACAAAAGAATAAAAACTTTTTTATTTTCTCTTAACCTTATCATCTCCAATCTAATACATATATGCATAAAATTTTAAGAGAGGACTTAGAGGTCTCCACGTGCCCAGATCGATAGGGGGCTAGAGCCCCCTAGCCCCACCGCTGCTCCGTCGCTGACTAGGTGGGAGTAGTTACTCGTAGGGAGTAGGAAAAATACATACACATATATATATATATATGTATATTTTTTATATACTCCCGGGAGTAGTTACTCCCATAATCAATAAATCATATCTACATACTCATTTATCAGTTTGAGTATGTTGACATACTAATATTAAGATACTTTAGATCTTTTCTATGTGAAAAAAATTTCAAAAGAGCACATATTTTTTAATATATTTTATAACACTATGATAGTAGCATATAAAATAAGTATAACCATATACTCTAAGTATACATACATACTTGTCATATATATAGTACCCTCGATGGTATAGTATGATGATATACTCCATCTACATACACTTTGTCGGACTATATACGTTCTAAATCTAGAGATATACACATGGGAGTAACTACTCCCTGGGAGTAGGAAATAATTTACATATATATATATATATATATATATATATATATATTCAGTAGCCAGCTACAAAATAAGTTATTCCGTAGCCACATCCATTTACGATAATTTATATACTAATTTACGATAATGTCAATACATATTTACGATAGTTGGGTTACTATAACACATGGAGATATTTACCATAACGTTACAATAAACCACTTAATATAAAGTTACTATAATCTCATAAATTAGCATAGTAATTATCGTAACTCAAAGTGGCTATAGAATAAGTTATTTTGTAGCCAGTTAAGAGCCACCCAGCCGGAAAAGTATACTTGGTTAAGTTTTTGTTTTCTGCTGTTTACCCGTCTATAGCTTCGTAGACCTTGAGTAGCACGGCTGACGCTTTGGCCATGCCGCGTCGTGTAATTTTGCGCATGTTTGGAGAAAATTTGCAATCAAGGCGCCGGCGCGGCTTACTGGAAGACAAGCACGCAAAGCGTGCGATCGTTCACAAGAAACGGTTCTGCCTCTGCGGATCTGGACCCTCTGTACCTTTCTCTTCTCTTCTTCCATTCCATTCCTCCACGGCAGGAGTGAGTCAGGGGAGGGCGAAAACGACTACGAGAGCAAAAGCAGCTCGGGAGCAAATGCGGATTGGACACTCCACCTTTTGTGCTGCGCTCGTCTGACATGTGATGTGCCGGTGTGGCGGTGTATTTGTATCGTGGTCGTGGGAGCTACGCGGGGGAAAGCAGCGGAGGACTAGACTTACGGGTCACGTGATCCATTTGCATTTGCATGGACAGCACTGAAATCTTTCTTGCGCGCCAGCGAGCGGACGCAGGTGCATCGCTCCGCTATCTGTACCGGTGCTGGAATGGCATGAGTACAGGGCGTGTTTGGTTATGCGCGTAGTTTCGCCTGTACATCTACTTTCTCGCCTTCTAATAAAGAGCGAAAAAAACTACTTACTCCCCAAAAAAGTGACAACGTGTTTCTATGTGATCTGAACTTACACCATATTTAATACTGAGTTAAAACAAATCGTACCCATGGATGATCTCAAGTCTGAGTTTAAAACGTATTGAGTTCTATTGTAACAGACTGGTAGGATATAAGACCATGCCCTGAAAAGAAGTCGAAAGTGGTCAGATCCAATTACAAATTCATATAAGATTTGCAACTGCGTACTGCGTACTGCACCCAGCAACGGCTCCTCGACGGGCTCCGCGCACAAGCGTCGCCATATATCGTGCGATCCGGGCTTCAGGGGCCGATTTGCCGCCGTTTCCTTTTCTTGCGGGCCTCGTGCAAACCTCGCAGTCTGCAGCGCAAGGCCACGAGCCCACGACCACGCGACCCCACGTCACATCGTGGAAACAGAATTCGAAATCGCTCAGGGTAGGTCGTAGGCGGACGACAACGCAGCCACGCAGGGTCTCTGCCATTTTAGCAGGCCCACTATTATCTATCCTATATTCGTATAGTAGAGATAAAAAAAAACTAGGTTACGTATTTAGCTACCTATTTACATTCAGTCTTTACTATTTACATTCACAATCAAATCAAATTTAATATTTTTCTCTATTCGTATATAGAAGGTATTAAACCGTAGATAAAAAAAGACCCACTCCCGCTACCTACGTCTAGGCCAACAAATCTTGCTGCCTATTTTTCCTTCGTCTCTCTCCTCCCCGACACGCACCGAAACGCCCGACGCCGCCCACGCCTTCGCCTTGCCCTCGCCTGCGGCGGCCCTCCCCGGCGTCCTCCCGCTGCCCTTCCGCTGCAGTGGCCTCGCATGCAAGCTCCCGTCGCCCCATCTTCATCGGCGCCCGATCTTTTCCAGCCGGCGCGGCCTCCATTGGTGGCCAGCTCTGGTGCCCCAACGGCGGCTCCCTCCCCAACGCCGGGCAGCAGATCCACGCGGCGGCGCCTTCCCCGACGGCGGCGTGGGCAGAGCTCCCCAGCAAGGGCTGCAGGCAGAGCTCCCGGCGTGGACAGCCTCTTCCCCGGCGTGGACTGCCCCTCCTCTCCCCAGCGCCTGCACAGCACCTCCGCTTCCCTTGCACAGGCGCGGACTGCTTTGGTCGAGTTCGTCGATGGCAAAAGAAGGAAGGAAGGGGATGACATGTGGGCTCTACATATCATTGGCTGTTAAGCTGAATTCGAGTGTCATGATTTAGGTAGTACCGCTAGACTTGAAAATAAAATTTAGGTAGTATAAAAATAAATGAATATCTAAACAAACATTTAGGTAGTCTGTTCCTGCTGCCGGAGATGCTCTAAGCCGAGTACCAGGCGATAACACGCCCATATGTCGGTGTCCATTGTCACGTAGCTGTCTTAGCAACGTGTTCGCTTATCGTTTCGGCTTATAAACGGCTGATGTTATTTTATTAATGTTATTTTATTGTGAAAGAAAAACACTATATTATAACTGCGCAATCCAGCGACTCGATTCGCGCCGAGAGCCTTCCAGACCAAAGAAGCCGGGCCACGGCCACCACCAAAACCCGACGACGACGAACAAGCAGACGCCAGAACCCAGCACAACTCGCTCGTTTCACTTTCGCGCACCACCTTTGTTTGCTTCTGGAAGACAGTAGCCGATCGCATCGCATTCGCATCACATCGCATGGCGACGAGGCCGCCAGCGGAGGGGAAGCCGTGGGAGCTGGCGGCGAACCCGCGGCTGTCCAAGGGCAAGACGGTGCCCGTGGTGGTGCTGGACGGCTGGGGCGAGGCGGCGCCCGACCCCTTCAACTGCATCCACATCGCCGACACGCCCACGCTCGACGCCCTCAAGAAGGTAAACGGGCTCTGCCGCTGAGGCTGTGATGGGCTGATCGCTGCCGTTCACTGAACTCTGCTCACATGTACTGTGCGCGACAGGCAGCTCCGGAGAGATGGAGGGTCATCAAGGCGCACGGGACAGCGGTGGGGCTGCCCACGGATGACGACATGGGAACAGCGAGGTCGGCCACAATGCGCTCGGAGCAGGACAGATATACGCGCAGGGGTAATACTGCAGCTTTGACTAGTACCACTCTGCTCTGTTTACAACTTATGACACCCGGCGGACGCCGACGCCACCTGAAACCCAAACTGAAGCAAAATTACGCATGCCAAATTAGGAATAGTATATATAAAAATAAATTACCAATGATCAGTCACGTACTCCCAACAAATTTCTGACGTCGCCAAATCGGTCGTGACTTTAACCCCCCCCCCGCGGCTCGTGCAGTTGCTGCTCAAAGGGGCAAGCGAGCGCGGGGCGAAGAGGATACGGGTTCACGTCCTCACGGATGGCCGGGACGTGCTGGATGGCAGCAGCGTCAGGTTCGTGGAAATGCTCGAGGAGGACCTTGCTAGGCTTTGGGACAAGGGCGTTGATGCGAGAATAGCCCTGCTTCGGCGGTATGTTCGTCGATGGCAATTTGTGAAGAAAAAAGGTTCCTGGATGGAAAAAGGAATCAAGCGGGTTTAATGTGGGGCCAATAGCGTCTGGTGGTGGCAGGATGTATGTCACGATGGATCGTTATGAGGTACAGTACTATAGCTGCGTCTCTGAGCATAGAGAAGAACGCTTGGTCAGTTACCAAATCTTGTATCCAAATTGTGAGACTTGTTTCATAATTATGACAAGCTTGAGCCTAGTAGAGGAAACAATCTGCAGAATATGAAAACCTGTGCTGGAAATTCACCAGCAATCAATTTTATTTTAACAAAAGACTATACGTATACCTGTCGTCTTTTGCAGAATGACTGGCAGGTTGTGAAGCGAGGTTGGGATGCGCACGTCCTCGGTGAAGCCCCCCACAAGTTCAAGAACGCTCTCGAGGCTGTGAAGAAGCTCAGGGAGGATCCAAAGGCCAACGTCCAGTACTTACCTCCCTTCGTCATAGTCGATGAGAGCGGAAAGCCGGTCGGCCCGATACAGGACGGAGATGCTGTCGTGACGTTCAATTTCAGAGCTGACCGGATGGTGATGCTTGCGAAGGCGCTGGAGTACGAGGACTTCGACAAGTTTGATCGTGTCAGGTTCCCCAAGATACGCTATGCCGGTATGCTTCAGTACGATGGCGAGCTAAAGCTTCCAAGCCATTATCTCGTTGCTCCCCCGGAGATAGAGAGGACATCGAGTGAATACTTGGCGCGCAACGGCATTCGCACCTATGCTTGCAGGTAAATTGTTGTGCATTTGTGCTTTATCTTGTGACAAGTCATTGCTATGAAGTCTGAATATTACATTACTTGACCATTGCTCTTGCTCGTATCATATCTTCTTCTTGTATAAAATGCAGTGAGACGGTCAAATTTGGTCATGTCACCTTTTTCTGGAACGGAAATCGGTCTGGCTACTTCAACCAAGACTTGGAAAAATATGAAGAAATTCCCAGCGACATCGGCATCCCCTTCAATGTTCAGCCCAAGATGAAGGCCTTGGAAATTGCACACAAGGCAAGGGATGCCATCCTGAGCCGAAAATTTGATCTGGTAGTTAATGAATTTAAACCATCTTAAAGAACTGTCTTGTAGAACAAAAAAGTAATGCACAGATAAGGCAGGGACTGATAGGGGCATTTTGTAGGTACGGGTCAACATTGCAAATGGAGATATGGTTGGCCATACAGGAGACATTGAGGCAACCATTGTTGCATGCAAGGCAGCTGATGAGGCTGTTAAGGTACATGCGCATGAGTGCGTCATGTTTGCAATCACCTCTCTTATCTTCATGCTAAAAAACCTCTCTTATCTTCCTGAGATTTCCTATCAATTGATTGATAGGCCACCATGCATTGCACACACATGTTCCAGTTTCTGCTGTTTAGATTGTTAGATCGATGTGAGTACCTTTCTGTGTAACCCGTAGATCCGTAGTTAGGCTCCACGACCTTGCGCTTCACCGGCGAACGGCAGCGCCAGCGGAGATGCAGCCGCGGACGCCGTGTGCTCGGCGTGGTGGTGAGGCTGGCGTCGGAGACCTGCGGCAGCGCGACGGTAGTGGTGGTGGCGGGCTCATCCCGTCAGCCGGGCAAGACGCTTTAGGATCGGATTAGGGTATCTCGAGTGGGTGTGGCGGCTCAGTCAACCTCTTCTCGTCCCCACCTTCTCTATTTGTATGTGCTTGTGCACGATGAGGGGCCTACCAACCAGATTAGGGTTGGGCTCCCCGATCGTGAGCAGCGAGCCAAGGGCCCAATAGGCTGCCTATTGGTGGAGATCAACTAACATTCTCCCCTTGATCTCATTCCATCTTTTACTTTCATATCATTTACTTTTGTTCATTCCATTACGCTCATAGAGCATGTCTCATCGCCACGGTCCATTGCCGATAGACTTAACGGGCTCACTACTACTGTTACGAAATAGATACTTATCTTTGGGCCTTCTTTTGTCCAGGGCTTTCCCTTAAACCCAAGCTAGCTACATGTTCTCGAACACCATGTCCTCTGTGTTGGGTGGTAAGCCTTTTGTAAGCGGATCCATGAGCATCCTTTCTGTTCTTATATGCTCAAGATTTATGACTTGATCCCGGACTTTATCTTTCACAACATAATACTCTATGCCAATGTGTTTGGCAAAGACCACTTGACTTATGTTGTGAGTATACTTTGCATCGCTTGATTATTATCACAAGATCTCTTAAGTGGTCTATAGATGTCGCCAACCACCTTCAAACCGGTATGAACTTCTTTAGTCGGGGCCTGCTGCCTCATATCACGCTACAAACCGTTATACATTGTGGACGATGTAGTGACGGTTTGCTTTGAGCTTTCCATGAAATAGCTCCCTTTTGCGAGATGATAGAAAATCCACGTCTGGATATGCATTCACTCTCGCATAATCGAATCAATATCCCACCATGTGGAGTGAATCGATCTTCTATATGTCATCATGAGGCCTTTCGTTCGTTGCAAATAATGCAAGACTTTCTTTACTAATTTCGAGTGTTCTATTCCGCAATTGCTCGAATCGCCAAGTAAAACCCGGTAACAAATGCCAAGTCGTATGCCACATGCTGAGCATGTTGCAAGCTTCCGACAACTGAAGCATATGGAACCACTTTCTCTTTATCGATTGAGCTTATATTGGTTCCTGGGGCATTGAAAATCCCCATATTCGTCGCCCTTGACTACAGGAGCAGGTGAGGGACTACATTTGTGCATACTGAATTTCTTTAAGATCTTTTCCATGTATGCCTTTTGTGACAGTCATTATACCCTTTTCTTCTATCTCGGTGAATCTCGATCCCTAGAACGAACGAGGCTTCGACAAGATCTTTCATATCAAGTTTTGAGAACAAAACTTCTTTGTCTCCTATAGTAGACTGACATCACTACTAGCAAGTAAGATATCATTTACATACAGGATAAGGAAGATAAACTTTCCAATCTTAAACTTTGCATAGACACAATTGTCCTCTACATTCTCTTTAAAACCCAAAATTCTTTATTGTCTGATCAAACTTCAAGTACCACTGTCTTGAAGCTTGTTCTAATCCATAAATGGATTTCTTTAGGCGGCATCCCATTCGTTCTTTTCTTTCCATGACAAAACCTTCCGGTTGTGCCATGTAAACATTTTTCTCCAAGTCTCCGTTGAGGAATGTCGTGTTTACATCCATCTGATGTAATTCTCAATCGTAATGTGCCACTAATGCTATTATTATTCTGAAAGAATCCTTACATGAGACTGAAGAAAAGGTCTCATCGTAATCAATCCCTTCTCTTTGCACAAAGCCTTTTGCCATAAATCGGGCTTTATATCTCTCTATATTCCCTTGAGAGTCAAGTTTTGTCTTGTAGACTCATTTACAATCTACTGTTTTGACTCTTTTAGGAATTATTTCTAAGTCCCAAACTTTATTGGCATTCAATGATTTTATTTCATCTTCCATGGCCTTAAGCCACTTTGATGACTGATCACTACTCATGGCTTCTTCAAACGAGGCTTTGATAATCCTCCATTTGAAATTCTTTAGTGTTGTACACTTCATGATCAGTAGGAATAGCTGATTTTCTAACTCTTTGAGACCTTTTAGGGGCCTCCATATTTGGCACATCTTCTATTTGAGGCTGTTGTTGCTCCCCCTCATGTGTGGCAATTGGTTCTATTGGATCTGAAGAACAGGTTCCTCATTTTCACTCATTTTTGCCACGGTGGATAACAACAGTCTTTGGCACCACAAAGATATCTAGCACTGCTCGGTGCTGCAGCTTCAGCAGTAGTAGAGAAAAAATGACTCATGAATCATTATAGTGGGCGATATACCCGCTTTACTTCAAAGACAATTTCTCGAGCTACCATGCTCCCCTCATCTTTTCATCTTCTAGGAAAACAAATGTGTCTCGTTTCCATAAACTTTGTATGTCTCTCTGAGCAAGGAAAACGAAAACTTTTGACTTTTTCCGTAGCCAGCAAAAAATGGCAACTTACTGTTTTGGGATATAACTTTCCAATGTTTGGGTTAAATACTTTAGCCTCAACTCCCCACACACACGCTGGTTTAGTGAGAGTACTCTTTCTCATCCACAACTCATACGGTGTTTTGGGCACCGACTTTCTTGATACTCTTATTGAGAATATAAATGGCGGTTTTAACGCCTTCATCCACAGAGTTCAACTGTAAGGTGGAGTAACTTATCATACTGCCCACCATATCCATCGAGAATACGATTGATTCTTTTAGATACTCTATTCTGAGGTTCGCTTGGTGTAGAATCTTGAGCTACTATGCCATTCTTTTAGGGTATGCCAATTAGTATTCCCCAGTCGGCCAACTATCTTAATCTTTAATATCTTAAATTTATCCAATACATCTTTTCTTTCTTTGATTGGATAAATATAGTCATAATGTAATCATCTGTGAATGGATCATAACCATCCACAGGTTTACGTGAAAGTCGACCCACGATGTCGTTGGAATAATATGTAAAATTCACCTGTCGCACATACTTTCCTTTTATGTTCTCTGCATTGAACTTAATCTGAGAGCTCTAATGAAGGAAGAATATCATTCTTAACTTGTCTTTCTATTCTCCCCCTCGAAATATGGCCTAAACGACGGTGCCATAATTTCGACAACGATCATCGTGAGCTCTCTTATGCCACCATTTCCGTCACTCTGTGACTAGCTTTATCGCCTAAGTGGCATATCTTTGAGGAGCCAATGAACCGCTCTTTATTCTATCGAGGTACTTGGTGACCGTGTCACATTCTGGGATTGAGCCCACAGTTGTAGGTTCAATCATGTTCTTTATCACAGCCAAACATTTCTTGTTTGCAGCGACCCACTTCCTATGCTCAAAAGCCATAGGATATCTTTTGGGATTCAAAATCCCTTTCTTTAGTTGCCCAAGTGGTATCATTCTCTTTTGTCTCCCTCACCGGCTCGCTGGAACACGGTGAGGTGACTACCCAGTCCACCTTAAACAAGATGAAAACCATGTCAAATCTTTTCTTAACATAAAATTAACACATCATTTGCATGTCTTGATTCCAACGTTGATCAAAATCAAAACATACAATTATTCTTATACACTAATTCTACATCACCGTTGGGCAGAAATAGAATTAATGCATAAATCTTTAACTTTGACAACTGTTCTTACACACTAATTCTACATCACCGTTGGGCGAAGTAGAATCAATGCATAAATCATTAAAATTATCAACTTTTCTTATACACTAATTCTACATCACCGTTATGCGTATGCAATTAATGCATAAATCATTAACATTACGATATTGTTATTAACAACGCTTGGTCGAAAATAACAACATCGTAATTATATCAAAACTCTTTTTCTCCAATTAAATACCACATTGGTTCAAAATAATGCGGAGAATCAACAGCTTTTTAGCAATGAAAAACTTTTCTTTTTCTCCAAGTAAATAGCATGTTGGTTCAATATAATCGAGAATATATTTTTCTTTTTAGTGGGAAAACTCTCTTTTTCCTTTAATTTTACCCACGGGAAAATTTTTTTTCTATTTTCTTTAATCCATTAATCAATTTTCGTGAAATAAACATTTTCTAAAAAAACTTTTCTTTTCTCCGCTTAAATATCATGTCGGTTCAAAATCATTTGGAGGATGTACTTTTCTTTCGCACCAAAACATATGCTCAATTTCTTGAATTTTACCCACGTAAAATCACTTTTCATATTTTCTTTTGATATATTTTCATTTTCCGTAAATTAGCACCATCTTGGAAAAGAAAAAACTGATCTTGATTCTTTCCCTTTTTTTTTTGGCCCAACTGGTAAAACCAGCTTCGGCCCGCTTCTCTCCTCACAAGAAGCCGCACCTTTCGCAAACCTAGGCCTGGGCGGCAAAACAAATCGCTCCCCTGGCCGCTGTGGGCTCAGTGCATCCAAGACCGTTGGATCTGATCCGACGGCCGTCCGATTGTTTCGGCCGAAAAAAATGACTCGATCCAGGGCCCCAAACCCTAGTCTCATTCGACTTGCCCTTCTCTCTCTTTTCGCTTTCTCTCTTCTCTCTCTGGTCAGTGGCGAAAACGGACCGACGACGAAGCGAAGCGGTGGAGCGGAGGACTTTACGCTGTTCGCATCGTCCAGCTCGTACGCGGCGCCCGGCTCGAAAAAGCTGATGCTTGGTAGGGTGGATCCGCCCCTTCCTTTTCTCCTTCCCACCCCTTCTTTTTCGATTTGGATCTCGCTTTCTCTTATCCGAACCGAAGGAAGGAGGGATTAGGTTAGGGTTTCTTTGATTCCTTTCTTTTCTTTTCTTTGATTTCTTTTGTTTCTTCTCGGATTCAACCATCTTAGGGGTGAGGATCCGTCTAGGGTTAGGTTTAGGGTTCGTGCACAGATATTCTTTTCCCCTTTCTTTTCTCTTTTTTCCTTTCTTTTCTTTGACATCCGAATGGATCTAGGGTTACTGATTTCTTTTCTTTTCCTTGTTTACCCGATGTATTATCCCGTTCTAGGGTTAGGGTTTCGGCTACGTGAGCCTAGGGCCCTATTTCTTCTCCGATCCGAAAGGATCAAATTTTGCCGATATGAACGTTGGCTCATTCCCACGCCCCACAGGATGACATGAGACCGTGAGCCGGTCTCTTTCTTTTGCTTTTACCTTGTTAGGGTTAGGGATACACATGAATACACAGAGGTAACTCCTGCTCTGGTACCATTGTTAGGATCGATGTGAGTACCTTTACTGTGTAACCCGTAGATCCGTGAGTTAGGCTCCATGACCTTGCGGAGCTTCACATTGCAATCACCTGGGACGCTTGATGCCTTCATGCTCAAAAAGACCTCTCTTATCTCCTCCTGGATCGGATTTCCTATCAACCTCTTCTCGATTGATCCTCACCTTCTCTATTTGTATGTCCACCATGCATTGCACACACATGTTCCAGTTTCTGCTGTTTAGATAGCTGTCAATTTATTTATATCTTCTAGATCATCCTCGATGCCATTGAGGAAATGGGTGGCATTTTTGTACTGACTGCCGACCATGGTAACGCCGAGGACATGGCGAAAAGAGATAAGTCTGGAAAGCCACTCCGGGACAAGGACGGGAAGGTCCAGACCCTTACTTCGCACACGCTGAATCCGGTCAGTTCAGTCGAGACATGTTAGGTGTTAAGTAATCCATATATGCTGGCCTCTCGGTGCGCTCTTGATCGGAAGTCTGAAACAATCTGTCTGCAGGTTCCAATCGCAATAGGAGGCCCTGGGCTTGCACCTGGGGTCAGGTTCCGTACAGACCTCGCAAATGCCGGCCTCGCTAATGTTGCAGCGACAGTCATGAACCTTCATGGGTTTGAGGCCTCTGATCATTATGAGCCAACACTGATCGAAGTCGTCGACAAGTGATGCCTTGGCCTTTGCTACTTCCAATCTGAATAACTCATCTGCCACTGTTTTGCGTGATTTGGTGTATATATATATACTCTACTCGGGATAAATTTGGTTTCCGCTTTGTGGTTGTGGCTGTCATCATCTGAACCAATTTCTACTACTGTTGTCGGGCATGTGTGGTGTAACCTTACTCAAATATCAGTATGTCACTGATGTGTATGTTTACAATTTGTCAAGCCTTTGTATCGCTATAAATCGCGAGTGTCTGGGTCGCATAGCAACAAGGTGAGAAACTGACAAGTAGCTGTTCAACATGTGGCTGCATGGGAACAATTTCGTCGGAGCGTGTCACAGCTCGCATGTCCCAATATGAACATAGATTTACATCATTCCCAACATTGTTGCTCATGACAAGACAGCCAAATACTTTTGGTTGAAGCAAATCTCTTGCGAGCCATGCAAAGATATCCATCACATCTCAATCAGCTCGCATCCACTGCAGTAAAATATTGAAATGTACAGAAAGGCAGAAGCAAAGTATGGCATCTCATACGCAGAAGCTATACCAAACGTCAGGCGACTAGAGCCAAACACAGCAAGCTGGCTCCGTCCGAACAATCAAATCTCAAACCATTTTTACATCTACTAGACGTCCTGGATGGAGAGACGGAGATGAACTATCCATGTATCTGCTGGACAGACAAGGCATACACTATCGAAGCTTCGACTCGTTTGATCTGCTGCTCCGGAAGTTTGAGAGCGAGAAGAACGACCTTGATGCTGGAAGAACCATGACAGATGGGTTAGCAACGGCCTAAGGCTATCTCCAACAACAACACCCAAAATACAAGACTTATTCGTCCTTCGAGTAGCGCTACAGGCAAAAAGTTCAATAACTATTCGGCATCTTCTCCAACAACAAGATCCATATGGGTTCCTTGTTGGAGACAGTCTAATTAGGCCCCGTTCGGCTTACCTTAAAAGCCAGCTTGTTTGGCTTCTTTTTTCAACCGGAACAGTGTTTTTCTCTCACAACAATTCAGCTTTGGCTTGTTTTTTCAGCCAAGCGTAGATCACATCACATTACATTGTTTGGCGAAAACTAACCTTTTGTTGATGGGGCAGCTCCAGGTCTCTCCCGTAGCTTATCCGAGTTCATAGAGTTGAAGCTGCCAGTAGTTGATTGAGCTGAAAATGAATAGGTTTAGATTTATGCATGACCTTGAAATATAACACAGTACTGCTGAGCTAATTTGATCAAGCATAGAAAGATGAACTGCTACAACAAAAAGTTTCTCACTACTCTGGGTAAAGCTGTAAAAATTGTGCATGATGCGATGAAGTTACATAATTGGAAATGTGCCTGTCTATAAATAGTTAAATACTCACGTAACATCACGCTAACTGGTAACAGCACAAGGTCAGGCCATATAATCATCTTTAAACCATGGATGTAACTATCAAAAGGCCGTGACAAAGACTAACTATATCAGTATTGAGACTGTTCCTATAAAAGTACTTGGATGCAGAACCATCTTCTAGACCAAGGTTCGGAAAGGTACCTGATAAGATGTTATTAGTCTTTGAACCATCAAAAGTTCTCCTGCTCGAATTTGCACTATCAATAGTGCCTCTTGGTTCTTCTAGTTCATCTTCTCCTTCAGAAACTACTGAGGGGCTTGCCCAGCCGTTAGCATTATTGTCTCCCTTATTTTTACGAGCAAACTTCAGAAGCCTCTTGAATCCTTTTGGAGAATCCTTATGAAAAACTATTGCGGGTGGGTTTTCAGCATTTCCCCACTCAATAATTTCTGGTTCATTGCTATCTGCTTGCAGCATTTGTGACAACGAATGACGCACTCTTGGGCTTGATGATGGCAATGGTGCAATTCCTGGGGAAGTTACATCCTCAGCGACTACATTTTCACTCGAATCAGTGAATTCTAGTTCTTGATGCTCTACTTCTACCCAAGCAGCTGATGAGATGCCCATGTCATCGTCAGGAGGTTGTATGGCCTCATCTATCTCATCGGTAGAGGGTTTAACATGGACACTGGAGCCCATTTCTGTCGCAGTTAAACTCGAGGCCGGTTTCTCTGTTTTTTCAATATTCAAGTCATTATCGAGCGAAATTTCTAAATTTTCATCAACATCATGTGCTGGTTGAGCAAGATCAGCCTCCAGTACCTTGGGAGTTGGCTCGGTTGTCATAGGAGATTGCTCCTTATCTTCAGCTTGGTTAACACTTCCACTATCTTTTGAGTCATCAAGTTGGGGTACCTTACTCTTCACAGTACCAGAACCAATGCTCTGACTAGTTCCAGTGGTTTTCTTCAAGGGTTTGGACTCAAGCGGCACAACACTGCTTTTCTTTGAAACCTTATGCAAGTTTTGCTTCGTTGTTACACTTGATTTTTCTTCTGAAGAAGGTGAAACTCTAGTTATTCTGCTTGTCTTTGTTGCTGTTTTTGTCTTCTTCTCTTCTTGTCCCTTCATAGCTGGCTTGGTAGCAGTAATGGTTTCCTTCTTGTTCTTCACTGGTTGAATGGCTCTTTCCACTTTTGAAGCTGGCTGAGACGACGAGGGTGTTGACGGAGTCCTTCTTCGGCTAGTTTGTGTGGACATCGACGCCATCCCAGGAGAGATTTTAGTTTTTTGTGTTGTAGTTGCTTTAGTCAAAGAACCACCTGACCATGAACTTCGTGTGGTAGGCACAGATGCAGGTGCAGGTGCAGGTGATGGTTTCAGTGAGCTTTTTCTGACTGGTGGTGTCTTTGAAGCTACTTCTTTGGGTAGGACCGGAGGTGATGAATTTCGCCGTGCCCTTTGTGGAACTGGTGAAATACGTCTCTCTGCTGAAGTGCCAGTTTTGGAGGTCATTGTCGGTTTATTCAGCCCAGCTGTTTCCTTCAAGGACTTGGTGCTTGGTTCCTTTGCAGGTCGCCTTGTGCCTTTCTCAGTTCTGACTTTTGTGTCTCGCTTCTCTCTATGCTGACCATGAGATACACCTTTTTGCTGATTGGTGGAACTGAGACTAGCAGCGGTAGTATTAGCACCCGCAAATTTTCCAGGCATGACTTCCATCATTTTCAATAACATTTGATTAAGTTCAGCTTCCTTCTGGCGGTTCCACTCTGCAGAGGCCATTGCCCGATCACTGTTTTCCTCCAGTCCAAACTTTGCTTGTTCTGCACAAATATTACTACAAACAGTGCTCTCCGTTTCTGGTACTCCAATATCATGAGAATTATCATGGAAAGTTAAATCTTCAACCTCAGGTGTAACAAAATTCTTTGGTGTGTCATCTAGTTCAGCCTTCATTTCAGCTCCAACCTTCTCTGTTTCAGAAGCCATGTTTGATTTACTTTCAGATGTGGACTCAGAGACTTTTCCTTCTGACTTTTCATTCAAAGAATCACCCATTCCTGCACTCCACCTTCTTAAGACAGACTTAGTAGCAAACAAGCCAGCTTTCTTATTTTGTGAATCCAGATTCTGATCCTTCTGCTTGCTCTCGAAAAGGTTAATCGCATCCTGAACACTCATCCTTCTTACATTATTGTCAGATTTCCTTGGTGGCTGGTCAGTTTCACCATTGCAGGTACTACTTTCATCATCTTTATCCAAAGGAATCCTTTGACTAGGAGGGAAGTAACTGAGGCTCTTGATGGCAATTGCTGTTGATCGACGTGATCCTGACCTCCCAATTTGAACCCTCCGCATTGGAGAAGCCGATCTTCTAGGTGAAGCAGATCTTACAAGAGGTCGGCTCCTTTCAACAATGGCCTCGCCTTCATCACTGGACTCAGAGGAATCTTCACTTTCTGTTGAGCTCTCACGCTCAATTTGTGCAAGCTTTGCTGGAGAGACATTATTGGCAATGGGCCTCTGGGGATTGGTCTGAGGACTGATATCACAAGGTTTATGTGCATTCTCACCCTTGTCAATTTTCTCAGTTGTAGAATACTGCTGTAAAGGGACCTCAGAGGGCTGACAATCCAAAATCAACAACATACACCGCATCAACCAACTGGTAAATGAGAAAGACCGGTAGTTAATCTCTTGTCTCAACTGAACAGACAATGAAGACATGATTCAAAAGATTGGACACATCATATAAATGTAAAAGCAAACTAATTCCATGTGACCAAGTTGGTCAGTTTATGAATGACTAGAAGACACACTTGTAGCCAATCAGCATTATCTGTACTCTCTGATCATACAAAAAAATGAGTGAAATTGCAGAGTACTATGCTTTTTAACATACCTAAACTCTGATGTTCCAAATCTCTGGACAAAAGCAGATAAATCAGATATTTCTCTTGTTGATAAATTGGATCCAACTGCTCGATTCAATAAGATCAAGATTTCTTCCTTCAGTGCAGTTAACCTCAAATCCAGTGCTCGAAGCAATTCATTCCTAGCATATTTAACCATAAAAAATGTGAACCAAAAGAGGTAGTGAAGTAAAGTAGCAGAGAAAAGGAAAGGATTTTTACTTTGTAGTCTCCGATGAATTCGGGTCATCATTTCCCTAAAAGTGGATGTTTAAATGTTAAGTAGGTGGATCATGAAAGATTAAAACCATGTAAAATTAAATCCTTGCGGCACTAGAAACTACCTGCTGTGCTATGGCACCAGTACCAAACAAACCTCCTGAAGAAACAGAACATCATATTAAACTGAGGGCTCCACCATTATAAGGTTGAACGAGATTCAGTAAGGTTAATACACATGAAACGTGGACAGGCGTTCATGTTTGGATATTACAAGGAATAAATACCACATAAGCATTAAAAACAGCCCCTCTAGCAGTTTTATGTTTACATATTTCATGGTTTTGTCTGCATTTGCATATATACATATATTTGTGAAGTATGGAAGTTCAAGTGAGCATTGATACAATATTTGGTGAAAAGAAAAGGTAGTTGAACTTCAACAGTTCTACCTTTAGAGCATAAGGCATCTGTTTTTTTTTTTTAATAATGCCCTGAGAGTAGTTTTGCCAGTATGAA